GCACAGGTTAGTTTGCAGCTACCAACTGAAAACCAATTTCCAAAGTTCATATTGCTCTGAAAAACAATGGTGTATTTGAAGTCATAAAGTAATTTTGTTCATCACTCTGCATACTCTGCAAACGCATAGCAAGCCCCCACTTGGCAGATGACTATGCTAAGTGTGTCACTTAGTTCACTGTGACTTCCAGGTGAAGAAACCCAAGTCAATTCTCTGTTAGCCCAAACATCAGTGCATGTGGTTCCATCTGAACTCAACAAACTGTAGTTTGGCATTCCCTCAGGCCAACACCAAATCACAGAGCCCCAGCAGCAGAAAGATTGCACTGCCCCATGATTCAGGATTACTTAAGGGGTAGGGAAACAAAGAATTCTTCTGTTGGGTCCCAAAGATCTGAAGGAAAATACCTATCCTAAAAAAAGCTGAGATTCAGGAGTTTCAAAGGATGAGTTAATATATACCTTGGCTTCATTTTCATCTTCTTCCAGTGCTTTGTTCACCATCTGTTAATTTTCCTCTCAAGTGAGATTCCTATCACATCAGATTTGACACTTAAGAGTATGCATCATACATTAAAAACAAGAAGTATATTCAGACTAGAGAGTTCCTTCGAAAAAATTCAATAGCTTTTTCCAAAAGTCAGAGACAAAACCCCAAATATTCACTTCTGTCCAAACAAGTTTGCTTGAATGCAGGTGAGCAGGGGGACCAGACACCTGTTTAGCTCAACTAACCATAAAAAAAAATAAAGTCAGTTACTTTGACCAGATGGCTGATACACATTTTTCCCACATTGTCTTCTTTATGTACGCATGACATCTGAAGTTGCTAAAGTTTTGCTCAAAGATCTCGTCTCAAAGAATACGAAATCCACAGTTTTGCACACCCACGCTCTCTGAAGCTCATGCTTACATTGAATTCCTGCTACCCCTACCTTAAAAAAAAAATATCTCTTCTACTTACTTCCCTTCAATCAGATCTTCTCGAGTCTGAGCATTCATGCCCACTCCCAGAATGCAGGCAGGGGAATGCCCAAGAGCTGCTGCTCTGTAGTTCATCCTGGTCTATCCAGTTCAGCACATCCACAGCACCAAGAAGGACCAAGTATGATAGACGTGAGCTGAATTTCCAAGCAGCCTTGTCAAAACAAGTTAGAAAAGTTACTCACTTCATTTTGACCTGAACTTTAACTTCGGCTATTCACTCACAAATGGAGAAAAACTTATTATAAACTGCCTATTAGATAGGTCTCCAGAAAAATTAGGAGTTCCGGAACAAAATATTATGTTACTCAAAGCCTGTGATTAAAGGAAACATTTTCCTGGAAGTATACTCAAGTCTGCAGCACATGAATGCAGGACACACTACAAAGAAACTGTACTAATATTACTGCTGTCTCGGCATATACACTACATGCTTTCCACCTCTTAGCACACCGTATGAGACCACAGGAACAGTAGTCTTGTAAGCTGCATATAGGGTCGTACTGACAGCATCTAGGATCCCACATGAGGAAAAAAGTAGTATCTTCCTCAGAAAGCCTACTAATTGTTTTTAACAAGCTCAATATTGTTTGCTTTCTGATCGACTTCCTCAGATTCATACTACTTATCCTCACGTCTTCATTCACATCAACCCCCAAATGCAAAGAACAGAAGATATCATCATTTGGGTTTGTTAGTTCAACAGTTCCTTTCCGTACCATCGCCAATTCTTTTTAACAACAAGTTCTGTATAGCTGCTGTTTCATTTACAGCAAGTAACTCTTGCAGCCCTAGTATTTTTCAGCACAGAACTAGCAGTTCCTACTGAAGCCAAAGCAAGCTACAATTAGGCTCTCTGCTATGTTCAAGCTAGATCTGTCCTCTACCTCAGTATTTAGGAGGTAGAAGTTACTCAAAGCCAAACTGAGACTGCTCAGGTCAAGAATAATTATTCAATTAGCCTGAGTCGGTCTTGCAAGAAGGGAAGGTTCCCACGATTTTATCCACACGCACAGTACTCAACTGAATCCTGAGACCACATAAAGGCATATGTTTCTAATGCCAGAGGGAGGTGTGGGCAGCCAACTAGGAGACAACTTCATAATGCACACTCTAAGGGCAGACCAAACCTTTCTCTTCCTTCCCACATAATTCATCACCCAGGAGTAACTTAGGGATTATTAGCAGGTCTGTTAATTGTTTCAGTTTCCTAAGTATTCTCTTTGTCAAAAAAGAAAAAAATTAACACCAAAAAACTTCTTCCTACTTGCAGTCACAGGAGTCTTCAAAAGAAATACATACATAAGCAGTTGAAAATTGTCTTTATTTATAGTAGTCTTCATTTATAGTAGTTTGTGCCATAATTTCCTTTATCACTGATAACTGCTGCATTTCAAATGATGTTTATGACCTTGAATAAACGTCAAAAGAAAATTAAATCATCTCTGCAGACTTAAGTAACCCAATGAACAACTCTGGGAGACACCTACCCTAAAACCCACGAGTCCAACACCCTCTCCCAGTTAACAGCTTTCTCTGCCCCCCCACTAGTAAAGTAAACCAGTGTGCTCTTCTGTTTGTTCTCAATTAGTTTAGCTATGAGCAACGGTTGATCTCAATTCAACAACTATTTCACAGTAGTGATTTGTGTTGTGCTGATTCCACCCAAACAAACTTGAACTAAGGCTGCCCTTTTCCCAAGTAGAACAAGCATAATAAGCATTACTATCATGAACAGAGAAGGCAACTCAAGCAAAACACACTGATCTTACTACAACACATGACATTCATCTACTGTCAACATCAGGTTCTCTGCATCCATTTAGCTCAATACCACCTGTCACCCTTAACTGATTTTTCATGGACCTGCATACTCCCTCAAGCTGAGATTTATAGATATTATTTACAAAATATACTTAACATACTTTAAAAAAAAAAAACAACAAACACTACCACCATATTTTACTCAAATATCTTTCCTCTCAGATCACACTGAAAGCTTATATGCTTTCAGACACCTTCTGAGGCATTTAAAATATACATATAGACTTCTTTCCACAGTCCCACAGATGTGCATTAAAACACTCAATTGCCCCCACATTTTTTTCAACTGATACAATATACCATTAAATATTCAATCCAATTCACAACAACAAGGTTTAAGCATAGGCACACTGCAGCCCAAGACTTCTATACTTAGTATTTCAGCAGACCAAAACCATGAAAAAACACAGCAAAACCATTAAATAACATTCTTTTACGGAGTTAAGCATCAAATTCTGTAACTCTTTAAAGAACACTTGAGAAGAAGTGAGAGCCATTTGAAAAACAAATTAAAGCATTAATTCAAGTATTAATCAGTATTTTCCACGTGCCTATTGACAGATTTTCCCACATACTGCAGGGTGTTGAGGAGGACTTAGCCTGGTAACAAAGCCCTGCTGACAGAATATCTACCGTCTGGTGGAATTACACAAAAATCTCAACTCTGTGGCAGATGCACATGGTTATATCATTACAATATACACAAACCGTCAATCAGATCAGAGCCATTCTTTCCTTCCTGCGGTGTCGCAGACTCACTTCAGCCCAGCACCAGCACATCTTCCTTACCTCCCCCTTTCGTACACCTGTGTGGCTGCTCCCACAGCTGCCAGTCCATCCCCAGGGGCATCCCTGAAGGGGTGAGGGCCAGAATACAGTGCTGCTCCACCTCAGGCTCCTCCTACTGTGGCCCTGAGGCCAGGCCCAGTTCCACTGCACCCCAGGACTGGCTGCTCTGAGGTACTGAGGGTGACAAAGGCCCAAGATGGCTGCCAGGCAAGGTGCGCCTCCTTGTGGCAGCCAGCAACCTGCCCATCATTTCAAGGCACACTGCAGCATCCTGCTTATCAACAGAGCAGCAGCAGGCTGTGCATTTTGTCAGGCCTGATTCCAGTACAACCGGCTCAAGAAAGTGTTATTAGTCACAGTGGGAAAAAAAATGGAATATCAACTGCGTATCCTGAATCCACACACTTGCCCAGAATCCAATAAGTTTAGAAAAATGCTTTCTCTAACCTGAGCCTTAAAAACAGAGTTGGTTATGCCAAGAGAGGAAGCCCCAGAGAAGAGCACCGTTCTAGGAAGGGACTGGAAGGGGCTATGAATCAGGTCTGGTTACCTACTGTTCACACACTGCTCTGCATTTTATTTCTCACACAGATATACTTGCCTCTTCCTTAAGGCAGGTCTTGGCTTTAAGTCTGTTAAGGAGTTAATCCTTGTGATCAGGCAGTTTCTAATCTAAGACTTAATTACACAAAGTCTGTACTTCCTTTTGTTCTAACTCTCATTTAGCTCACAATGCTTCCAGTCTTCACCTATAATTTCCAGAAGAAAAGAACACTCACTACATACTGGCTTAGAGTTAAAGCTTACCCATCAAAGGAAACTTCCAGGAGACAGAGCAGGTAAAATATTTAACTTTGCAGAGCAGGCAACAAAGGGGAAAAAAAAAAGGGCTAGCCAGAACTTATTTTTTCATACTTCTTCAATGACGGCTTTTCTCTCATCGTGGATAAACACACTCAGGTACTGTAATCATTTCTTACGTTTGTGATACTCACAGCAACCCACTGTAATTCTCCATGTGAAGAAAAACACACAAAAATCAACTTCAGGGAAGAAAGTCAATGCAACTCCATGGACCAATGATACAAAGACCAAAACATAATCTTGCCAAAAGCAAATATGATTTTTAGAGGACATACTACCCTCTTGTTTGGAACAACATTAAATTCTTCAAGAAATGAAACAATAACTAAATATCAGAAATATTGTTATATATCTTTCTACTTATTCAACTCGCAAAGAAAACAAATTTAGAGTGGAGTAAGCAAAGTGAATAAACAAATCATCCAGCATTCATTCACAGGCAACAGAAATCGAAGTACCATATGTACACTGTTCTTCATCTGTCTGGAACACGCAGTGCCGTTACTGTAAACAAAGAAGAAGGTGCACAGTTTCAAGAAATACTTCTCTGCTCCCACTAGCTTTATTGAAGCCTTCCACATTAAGTATCCATCTGCCTTTGAGGGCTGTCAGGTCAGAAGGCAGACTTGTAAAAAGATATGTTAGGTTTAAAAACATAAGCTGTATAATTCCAAGTAACTGCATCAACAGGACAAAGCAAAAACCTTCAGACACTTCCAGTTTTAAACTGTGGCATTACTCTGTTATGAAGTTACCAAATTTAATATTTTACTTACAATAGGCAAACTAGAGTGTAGAAAGCCTTCCAAGAGCTCATGAAACACATACACAATAGGTACACAAAAATCATACCACACATTTTTAAGGTAGGCTACTTTTACTGGAGAGCATGAAAAGCAAAACCGACCTTTACAAAAGCCTGATTTCATATAGAGTAAAAACATCTGCTCCTGCTTTTAATTTTGCTGTTTTAAAATTAACCGTTAACTCATTTGGAGACAGAAAACATCCCCACTCTAACACAAATTAACAGCTTTTAAGTGCGCCCTTCCCACAATTTGGTAAAAAAAACCCAAACAAACCAGATTAACCTTGAAACTGGAATTAAGTCGGAGAAAAACCTAAAAGGAAATAAAAAACCCTCTTAGACTGAAAGCTACCAAATGTAAAGGTGGAGTGAGCTTCAAGAAAACTTCACTCAAGCAAGCTAAACGAGAATATTCTTCACGTTGGTCTCATAACACTTCCCATCTCACAGCTGAACCCACCAGTACAACTGAGATAGCTGACATACAACAGTCAAAACAGAGCATGGAAGCCATTTAATGAAACTGAAGGTGAACTGCTTTCTCGAACAGCAGCATATGAACCAATAGCAGAGCAAGTAACAATTTTAGTGACAATATAAAAATAGTTTGCAAGCTAGGATACCTTACTGTGGACTAAAATCCATTTACTCAGCACTATAGGAACCAAGTTAAACTTAGTTTATGCTTTTAAAAGGCATTTTCAGAAAAAAAAAATATTGTACAGTTTAACTACCACCTGCCAGGTTCGCATGCTTTTTAAAGATGCACTTTGTCACTAAGTAGAATATAAAAAACACAGCAAAACAGTGCAGAATTTTCTAAAAAATATTTTAAATAAATTTACACTTCAGTATAAGATTATTCAAGTTCAGAATCAATCACCACATTTAGTGTAACTCATTTACTTTTGTTATCCTCATTGCACATCAAAAACAGTTTCTAATTCTGTCGAGACTAGAAGAGTGGTTTCCTTGACTTATGCTGGCCCAATAAGCCAGTAGACGTCACCCCACAGATGTCATTTTGGTCTTCTGCAGACAATTAAAGCCTGAATTCATCAACTACTTCTCACCAAAAAAATTAAAAACGAAAACAAACCGGAAGGCAAAATTTTGAAGGTCTTTTACAAGCACAGACCCTCAGCAAGGATCCATATAGGTAGCCTTCCTATGATTTCGTAAGTGTAGTTCAAAATTTATGACTGACCTCTTTAACCAATGCAGCCACGAAAATAATAATTCTCTAGGTATATTCCTCTGATTCAAAAATAATGGACAAACTTAGTCCTTTTTTAAGCTTCTACTTCTGGAAACCAAATAGCTTTCTAGAAACACTTGATTCCTAACACTGACAAGAAAAATTGACCACAACCATTTTCTTCCTTTTACGCAGTCTCAGAAAGCTTAATTTAAGTTACAGTACTGCAAGGCACATACAGAATCTCCTCCTTTCAAATACACAGCATATATATTCCCTGAAATAATTTTAAAACTCTCAAAACAATAAAAAATGCTACAAAGTTAGTAACTTCTATTTAAAAACATTGTTCCCACAGAACATGCACTTTTGTGGAAAATAGCTTTGCAAATATTTATATTTTTCTTCTTTACACTCATACTGTAAATATACTGAATATTTTTAGAAGTACTGTATCAATTCACATTAATTTATTGCCTTCATTGTATGATTGCATCATCTCTAGAAACTATGAAGTTATCAGACTTGTAAATAAGGTGGAATGGGAGACTACGCACGTAGTTTAACCCATCTGAAAGGACTTGCACATACAACAACGCCACCAGAGTCAAAATCAACTTGCTTCATTAAGTGGATAAAGTCTATGGAAAATGATGTAAATGCATTTGTTTAAACGCAGAGGTGTTAGAACCTACTTAAAAATCTCAATTTTCTGTCTTTTGGGAAAGCATATCTTACTATAAAAGCAATTGAATTTTTAAGAGGTAGTTTTTTTTTTTTCCATTATGCGCTTATTTATTTCAAAGAAAAGGTACGCAAGAATTGCTTCTGCTCAACATTTGCTTTTAAACAAGGATGAAGTCTCAAAACTTCGTACAGTAAGTTCAACATTTAACTGTCCTCAGCGGTACCGCGCTGCTTTAGAACCAGTGTATTCCAGGTCATCAGCCTAGTCAAAACACTAATCTACCAACAGTACTGAATCCACCCCCTCCTCCTCCACCTGCTGGTCCGCAACTTCCCGGGGGATCATTGTCATCAAATCCATTGGGGCGGAAAGAGCACGAGGCTGAGGCAGCTTGAAGTGCTTGCGTTCGAGCACTAAGCTCTTGCTCCTGAAATCAAAGAATATTAAATCAATTTTAAACCCAAGTTTTAATTCCACTGAATAAACTAAATACTAGAGAAGCACACAAGAAAAAACACCAAAAAGATAAACAAGTATTTAGTTTACATTCAGTGTGGACTTACTTTCGAGTTATTGTGATGGTAACCCTCTATTAACATCAGTGTGCAGTATTCTCTAAAGCTCTAAAGACAATATCAGTTAGGTTCTGGAAAACTCAAGGAGGTACCTCTACAAGCAGTAGAGATAAGAAAAGAGACTCTTGACACCTTTATTAATCCCACATACCTTGCAATACTTTGTCTTTAGTATCCCTTCCTGAAATTGGCTAAGAGCTTCAAAAGTTAAGCGGGGCAAAAAAGAGGTAGGGTTCTGAAAAACTGACATGACAGCAAAAGCTTAATTGAGGACACAATAAAAGTATTTAGGTGCTAAGAATCAGACTGACAGAACTTCATGTGGCAACTGGCCATTACACACTACCCCATAAGGCAACGGGAGGAAATATTAACAGGGTTTTCATAATGACATTGGTCACCTTGAGTTTCTACCTCTCTCCTCCACCATCCGATGGAAGCAAGGAACAACACCAAGAACCTCAAAGACTTGTTATACTGCTGTGAAAGCACTAGGCTTAAGTTTCTCAATGTACTTTCACGGGTGCTAAAGATACTTAAGCATTGAGTTGGAAATTTTACTATGATTTTTACTGCATTCATACCAATGGAAGAAGTCAGCTCTGAAAAACTGCACGTGATTTGGAACTGAAGCTGAAGAAGCCATGCTACCTTATGCTACCTCATGCAGCCAAGAGAAGTATCATTAAAAAAAAAATCACAGGACAGATACTTCAACTACTCAGAAATCAGCAACAAAGCTACAATTGAAGCTCTGTGTTTTGTCAAATAATTGCAGCTATTCTAAAGGAATTTCACACTGAGGTTTCACTCTTACTTGTCATTTTGAACTTAACTACTTTTAATTTGAATAGGCCTTAAGCTCATACAGGAGCATCTTAATGAATCAAAAGCCAAACAAGAGAACTGTTCAACTGTTACACAGCCTAAACACTGTAGCAGTGGTCAAAACAAGCTACATTTTACTGTGGAACACTGCATTTCACTCTTTTTTTTTTTTTTTTTTTTTTTTTTTTTTTTTTTAAAAAAAAAAAACAACCTGAGGAGGAGACAACAAGGTAGAGCTCTCAGGGCAGAAAAGCAAAGCAAGCCAAAAGAAGACTCCAGTCACTAACAAGTAGTCTTCACTTTAAGTGTGACTTTATGGTGACAGCATTTGTGTAATTACAGTTGTACAAATTCAGTGTCTCTTCAAGTGCAAATATGCTTGCAAAAACACTAAGAATTTTTTTACATATTATATATTTCTACCTATTTTATTTATTTGTTAGAGGCAATGAAAATCAGTAGCTTGAACAGCTTTTCCTGCACCGAATTACAAGTACTAAAAGGACCAGCACAAACACCTTCACTAAAAATTGTTTCAACTGCAATGCACTAGACATTTTAACTCAGGCTTCTTATCTAATGGTGAAAGCCCATTAACCTACTAAGACCAGAATCAACACAGAAGCCAGACTTGTCATTTATATAATATACTGGAATGCTTAAAAGCTACCGTTTCACCCCCTTATAAATTGTTTCTTGGAAATTTTAAGGAGACCATTCCTCACATATTACCTTAATCTTACCTGCAAGTATAGTTTGTTATCTTTTGTAATTGCATCCATGAGGTCTTTTTGTAGGGGAGGGTCTCCATTCACCCAGAGTCCATTTGCTGAATTTGCATTGTAGCCACAGGTACTATTCTGTTTTTTGTAAAACAGAACATAAGCAGTGTCCTTCGGAAACCTACTGGTAATTTTCTGGACTGACTGAAATGAGGTAAATGTCACTCTGCTGTCATTGAATAAAAACCATTCTTTTGGCATCTCAGTGTCCAGCTCACTTTCTATAACAGCACAGGGACTCTCCTCCGCTAACAACTTATTCTGAGGAGAAATTAAAGAAAAAGCTTGGGACTGGTGACACTGTCCTGAAGAACCCGAACCAGTAACATTTCTAGCATATGAATAGTAATGTCCACTTTCAGAGGATACACCAGAGTGCACCACCACAGAACTTAGCACATAGGGCACCAGCTGTGGGCAGGACACTTCATCAGCACCTGAGGGCTTCAGTTTTTTAGCAAGATTTTCTCCAATATCAGAAACCTCAACATCAACAGACCAACTTCCTGAAGCCACAGCTAGAGGGGATGTTGCTCTTCTGACTGGCACTTCCAAAAGAAGTGGCAGAGAAACGCTGTCCAAGATTTTACGTCTTATATGACACTTTGGATCATACGAAAATCTCAGAAGAGTGAGAATGAGGTATTCAGGTTCCTCAATGATTTGCATAGTTTTCTCAGCATTTTGTAGAGAGGCACACTTCTCACAATAATACTTATTGTCTCCACTAAGGATCTCAGGTGCCAGAAAATAATTCAGTAAGTCCGTTACCGATGGGGTGCTTTTCCCTACCAGTGCAGAAGAAACATCCCTACTATCTTGATCCTTGTTCAATTCAGATTTTGTCTCCGAGTTTGGCTCAGCAGAAAAATCCTTTGGGATTCCTTCATTTGTAAGTGCGTTGCTTCCACCATTTACTTCCAAGCTACTGAGAGGTATTTCTCCAGCCGAAGTTGCCGAAATAGTAGTTTGCACCACAGAGCCATCTTTTATTTCAGAATGTGCCACACATTTCACACTAGCGCTTTCCAAGGACATCGGAGGACAGAAAGCTAAAGAGAGATCTGTAAAAGCTTCCTCCTTTTGAGATGTGCTTTTGCAGTTCAAACAGCAGATAGTAGTCTTCAGTTTTCCTCCAAACATTCTCTCTATGAGAGTTCTTTCTTCACTCCCCTTACAAAGTGCTTCAGCAAATACCTGTGCTTTAGGGACAGTTTCTTGTGCCTGGGACTCTTCACTCTTCCTACTTTCAGCAGACTTTGCTGAAGACAATGCTTTCCAAGTTCTCTCTTCTTCATGCAACCTGAAGACAAAAAGAGATCTGAGTAACTACTCCATTTTCTCCAAAAATACTGCTGCACCTCTCAAGATTTTTTTTCCAGTTACACTTAAAAGTTGTTAAGCAGATAGAAACAAATTAAAAAAAAAAACAATTTTATTGCTTATATAATCAACCTACATAGTTCAGTACTATCCAATAGTATTAAGTCACAGCATTAAGGCATTTCATGCAAATCTCATTATATCTAACACAATAAATATGCTCTGTGAACCAGCAGTTATTCAGACATCTAATAATCAATGTTTATTAACCGTTACTTTAAGAAATCAGTTCCCCACTTGCCTGGCTCCTTACGTCAAATTTCCTAAGAGAAGAAACAGCTGTTTAAGTAGTGCTGTATTATTTCAGAGGAGAACAAAAGGTCTGGATTGTGCAGCCAAGAAAGTTAGAAACTATAGCAAAAGAAATCCAAGACAGGGAAAAAAGGACACTTGCACAACTGAGATAAATTCAGTCTCCGTAAAAATACTCAGCAAGTCAAAATTAACAACTAACTAATATATTCTGTGGGGTTTTTTTGTTTTACCTGTCATTAATTCACATAATAAAGTATTAACACACATACATACCTTCCTGACTTATCTAACCCACGTGAATTAATAGCTGCATAAGCTATATAAAATAAACATAAAACTTCAGACAAATGACCAAACAGCTTTCAGCAACCACAGAAGCTTCATGACGGGACCACAGCTAACGTAATTAATACCCAAGTTTAGGTTTTTAAGAACAAAAACCACCACCAATCTAACCTGCTTTCAATGACTTGGAGAGAAGGCTGTATTCGGACTTAACCATGGATTAAACACACTAAGGTTTCACAGATGATACATCTATCATAGAACAGGAGACAGTCAGGCAACAAACCCAGAACTCCCACCACTCACTCACACAAAGGAGCTCTTGAATGACTGCACCTAATGACAAGTTCACCATTACACAACAGGGTTTCTACCCATTAATGACATGACTATACCTGTTGAGCAGGAAACGGAGATATTCTGAGCAATCCTGTTGTGATTGAGGGGTGAACCACGGCGGTCTGGACGCCTCAAGGAAAATTCTAGGAGCATACGCCTCCCTCTGTTAGCATATGGGAGAAACAGAAGAGTTATGTACAAATTACTTCATGGTTACTTGCATACTGACAGCTGGACTCTGGCTAACATTATTCTAAAGGAATTGCAGCACGGTCTGCATACGGACCATTTCTGTATCACAATCATGAGGATAAAGATGAGTATTGGTCATTAATATCGCAGCAAATTCCTCTAGTATAAAAAAAAATAAAAGTGGATCCTCTAAGCAAACAGTACGTGTATATCAAGCATAAGCCAGATACTATGCCTAAAAACAAGTTATTCTTCTTGCTGGCAAACTTAAAAAGAAGAAAGCATTTATTTCTTTGTAAGAATACCAGTAACTCGTTAATACCACACATATTTAAGGAGACCTATCCTCATTTTCACAGGGACTTGCTTTCATCTAACACTAGTAAAGTATTTTGTTTGAGAATGAACTTTCATAAATGAACTAACTTGAAACATGATGAAATTTCAAGAAATCACTTTAGAAGGTGACAATTTATTCCATTAAGTTGCATAAAATCAACTGGTTTATCAACTGGTTATCACATCAGGTCTTGATGGGATTTTTTTATTTTGCCTTCTGAAAGAAAACCTTCAACAGCCCACAGCGTCCCACTTATGAAACAGATTTCTCTAATTCCATCAAGACCTGAACATTTATAGGCAGACTCAGTCCCTACAAATCTACATTTTTAATATATTCAAGAGTATGCTTACGGCATCACATTTGTTCTTAAATTCTAGCACACAAACCTAAGCTTAAGAAAGAGCAGATGAGAAATTCACCTACCTGGGTATGGGCCAAAAACGCAAAAAGATGCTGTAATTTTCTCATCAATGAATTACAACCATTTAGATTCAGAGATAAAACATGTCTTCTGAAACTGAAAGAAGAGGCAGACAGTTGCCCTTTATAGATTTATAGCAGTAACGCAGTCAACATTCCAGCTCAAATTACTTCAGTTTGAAAGAAGGCAAAACGTGCAACACCTTCCCTCAATTCCTGGACTCTGCTCTATGGCAGAAATGCAAAACTATTGTACAGTAAGAACTTATCGCTAGGAAGTTCCTATTAATATTCAAATGTTTAGAAATGAACTTTTTTTCCAATAGCTTCTAGAGAATAACAAAAAGATAACCATGAAATTTTCACAATATTAAAGGGAACAAAGAAAAAAATGACTTATCTAGAATCTGGAAGTCAGACATATTACTCTCATTTTAGATACTGAAGAAATAGCTGTTATCTGACTCAGTCTCTCCTAAGTTCAACGCACTTATCCTTTTGACAATGGACAGAAAGGGTAAGGATTTTTAACTGCTAAAACTGCAGTTGCACAGAGTTGGATCTTAACAAAGCAGTCAGTAATTACCACGCAGAGAAACTCACTCAGCCCTAGGCAGCTGAGTAACCCAGGGCATGTTTATATTCTGTGTAAAGCAATTCCATCGCAACAGCTAACTAGCCCTGGTTGACAACAACAGCACTATAGTTAAGCAGCTCTAGGGGAAAGAGCTGGTAAAAAGGACTTACTCAGTAGCCATGTAAAGTGCCTGAATAATGCTGTTCATGTAGCAGGTATTCCCTAGGTTAATCAGGCCCGTCTTCCCAGTTTCAGATTTTCCAGGAAGTCTAGATAAACAAGACGGCAAAGAATTGGATTGAGAAGTCCAGGCACTCTGACTGAGAATCAGCTTCATTTTCTCTTCGCTGGGCTTGGGCATATCCTACAAGAGAAACATGAACAAAACAGGCTTTTATACTTGCTTTTATACTAATTAATGACACCCAGCAGTCTTCTTTATCTTCCCTTGCCCCCCTTCTATCCTCAAGGTTCTCGCTAGACCAGGAGACATACGTTACAATCGCCTTTCGAGAATACTTGGAGCACAAATACCTTTAGCCAGTACTATGCCACGTACTACGGCAAAAACAAGCAACCAAGAAACCCAAAACACTCCAAGGCTTGTTTTTTTTTTGTCACCTCCCAAATGACACAAATTAGGGGGTGGGCAGATACCTCTGATCAGCTTACACAGGCAATCCCTTTTGCCCCCAGAACAACTCCTCAAATTCTATGCATTTGAAGAACACCTAAATACCCTTATTCTGCTGGAGATAAAATCCTACTCTGTCAAATCAAAGTGTAAGAATGAAAAGAAAAAAAAAAAGTAAAAACACTAAGTACACAAGAGGCTTCTTCAACATTCAAGATGTTAAAATCAGGCAATAATAACCAACATATTGTTTCCTGCATTTTTTTTTTTGTTTTGTTTTAAATGTCTGTTAAGAAAATATGTGCATTATATAACGAAATTTGAGAGCTGCTCTAGAAGTAATGTCTCCCATTTTATTATGTTGGCCCAAGATGTGGAAAGCAGATTACATAATTTAGCTGATTACAGACATTTCTGAAAGGCTGTTATAATTGCCTTTTGGACACTCAGGACAACTTTTATTTTGCTTTGCTTATGCATACTTCAAGCAGTTAGAATTACTATTAAATTACGCAGTTAATTCTTTCCTCAAAGAAGAAACTCCACAGAGACTAGATCACTAGATTTGAGATAACAAAACAGCAACATCTCATGTCTGTATCCTTAACATACCTTAAAAACTTCCAGAATAGGTTCATAGAGCTCTGGAAAACCTGAATAATGATACATCATACAATGTATCAACTCAGCCAACTGCATCAAGAACGCTGTACTCGAAGGCAAGCCATCACTTTTGAAGGAGCGAACCAAGCCGACCACATGTGGGACAATCTAAATGGGAAAGGAACAAAAGGAAACTGTTAAAAAGCAATTCTATTCTCTGATTTTGTTCTACAAACAGTACTGTTCTGCACACCTGAAATAGCAGGAAATATTTTGCTCTCAAGGAAACAGTGACTGAGAAACCTGAAAAGTATATGCATGATTCTCTTAAAAAAGCACGGTTTAGTATTCAATGCTCTCCTCAGCTCATATATCAAGTTCTGGAACTTCATGAACACAGAAAACACACATTCAGTTTTTCCATCCGGCATGCATCCATAGTACTCATCTTATTAACCCATCTTAGAACTGCTGACCTGTTGGAGCATGTCCAGAAGAGAGCTACAAAGATGGGTGCAGGGGATGGAACACCTCCCCTAAGAAGACTGGCTTAGAGAGCAGGGGCTGCTCAGACTGGAGGAGACAAGGCTCTAGGGAGACCTAACAGTGGCCTTTCCGTATCTAACATAGGACTACAAGAAAGAAGAGGACAGAGCCTCTCCAAGGGAAATGGTTTCAAACTACAAGGAAATTTAGATTGCATGTAAGAAAGCACTTTTTTTTTTTGCTTATTTTTTTTTAAACAATAGGGATGGTAAGGCATTGTAACAGGTTGCCCACAGATGTGGCGCAAGACCTGTCCTGGAATACATTCAAGGTCAGGCTGGTCAGGATTCTGGGCAACCTCACTTAGCTGTAAGTGTTCCTGTACACTGCGGGGCAGTTGGACTAGACGACCTTTAAGTGTCCCTTCCAGCTCCAAACACGATAGGATTCTGTGATTAACGACACAACAGCAAACATTTCACTTCTGTGCTGCCACTAACAGCTGTATACCCTGCTCTCATTTCACAGATACAGTTAAAAAAATAACCCTCTCGATTTTTCTTTAACTGACTGTAATACTTGCCATCTCAAGCAAAAGAAAACATGTGGTCTATTGTAATGTAGAAATCGGTTTGTAGCTCCACCTAGCGTCAGAGCCAAGACAGCAGTACCTACAAAGCTTACGAAGCCTGCCATCAGTGCAACCTATTAGCAAATGAACTCCAATACACTGCTGCTGAAAATGGCATATAAAACAAAGATTTACTCCACTTCTCTCATCTTCAGTGCAGTTCTATCTCCATTTTTAAATACGACTTTCAACTTTTTACACTTGAGTCTTAAGAAAACCCCAAGTAGAAAGTTATCTCACTGCAAACCCAAGAAGAGTAGCAGCTTCTCTGAGAGAGCTGAACTATTCTAGACATCTTTCGACTTACACTGGATTCACTGCAGAAGAAATGGATAGAACTATTTCTCATCACAAAGAGCTTACAAACTGTTTGGCAGTAAAGACAGGAAATAAATAAAAAAACTGTCTAAAATAATGATATCCTTACAAGTATATTAATTACAAGAATTAATCTGATGTTTTGGCATCAGAACGAATAGCTATGGACAAAATATTCATTACTTTTGCAAATACCATTTGTTCTGTAAGTACGAATAGTATGTTTTTATCTTACAAGCAGACCCTAGTTACTGTAAAAAAAAAAAGATTCCTACTGTTTTATAATGACAACATTAAAACTAACTGTTCAACGACCTACAGAATGAGAAGCTCCAATTAAAAACTTATTACTTGACAGAAGTCTATACAGAAATGAGAGGCTGTCTTCCGAGAATGCGATCTGCAAACACTAGATGTACAATACAGTCGTTTTGCACTAAGCACATAGGAAGAGTAGAACACAGAAGTCCCCATCTGTCAAACTAACAATCAAAATCTTGCTTACAGCAAGCTGTGTAATAGTCAAAGTTCAACTCTGAATATATGCAAAATTATCATTTTTTGCTGAGGTTGAATCCAAGTTTCATACTTCAGAATAATCTGTGATTAAGATACACATTGTGAGCACAAAACATTTTTCTTCTGTTAATAAAAGTCATTCATGTAACGATCAAGCATTAGGAGGGGAAACATTAACTTAGATACGCAAAAAACCCACATTCCTAGAATAAGCCTTCTGTCCACCTCATATTTTACACTTCTTAGAAGAACAGAGAAGTTAACAAAAAGAACAAGATGTTTACATTTTGAGCATGTTCAAAGCAACTTGCTTATTTCATTTGTTTTGCATCCTAGGTCAGGATTAGGGCAGGGGAGGGAACAGAGAAAAGCATAAGACTGGTCATTAAAATAATACCAAAACAGGCTTAAGACAATTACTCTAACTAATGCAACACATTTGAGATTGCTTCAAGCATAGGAGCCTTGTAGACAACTTGAAAAAAAAAAAAAAAAAAAAAAAAACAACAACACGTGCATGCCAGGATGTTGTTATGATTGAGTCTTAGAGAGCCATCTCTCACTTAAAAACAATTTCAGGGTAGGCACTGACTTTGAGGAAGGTGAATGTGTTACACATCTCGCTGAACAAATGCAGTCGGTCACTCAGAGCTTAAATCAAAGTCCCTAAATTCTATTTCTTTTCACATACAATTGAAAAATCCCATGTGAAATACACTGGATAGAATTGAACCATTTCTTGAGGAACTTACCAAATGAAAAGCTTCCGGAGAATGCTGGAAGCTAAGTAACATATGAGAAAGAACAGCAAGGGCACCAGGTCTTACTAAAGGAAACCAAAGTCGATTAAAGACCTAAAAAAAACAAACCAAAAACAAAACACTTAATAAATCTAGAAAGACATTAACCGAATTGTAAACAGATTTCCCAACAGACAACCACTTGAAACAAAGAAACATCACGTGTAACTGAAAGCTATTTTATATCGTCTATTCAGGACAACAAGACCAAAGACTTGAATGCAAAAAAAATAAGCCTGCAGTTGCACAGCTGTTAAAAAACCCTTTTCCTCTCCTTCACTTTTATTCTTTTCCAACATACCAGTTCTATCTTCATCAGAGTGACATCAATAAGGATAGTAAATTTCTGGACTGCAGCTAGTCCTTTCAGCAGTGCAATCACCCATGTTTCCACATGCTGAGCCAGAGGCCAAGACAACCAGTCAATCATTCTGAAAGATAAGGAAAAATTGTTAATGAAACAAAACAGAAGTATATGTCATTCACTTCAACCTCAACAAAAAGGTTCTGTACACAAGGAGATACACAAGAAGTAATGAAATAATTAAAAATACACAAGCAAAAAACATGAAGTACTGTGTAGACTTTGCATTCAAGATGAAGCCAGCTTTTACAGACCTTATGACAAGATTCAATTTACGGCAAAAAGCTTAGGACTAAAAATAAAGAAGTGTCATTAATTGGAAATATTCCCTCCTACAGAATTTACCACAGATGAGACCAAAACTGACTAGTTTGAAAAGACACCACTAAGCTAAAGCATTTTATGCTTTTTTTCCTACCACAGCGTGGTGACGCTGTGAAGCATGTTATGCAGCAAGGCTGGGGCACCTCCATCTCCGCAGAAAGCTCTTAACTCAGTTGGGCAATACCTTGAGCAATGAAGCCCAACTTCAGTGCTTAGCCCCACTTGGAGCAGGACTGCTCTGGACAGTATCCCAAGGATGCTTTCACCCTACACAATGCTACACCTCTGTTCTATAATTCCACAGAAGGGGGAATTTAAAAGTAGATTTATTGCCTTCTGAAAAAAATCCTCAAAAATTTGTTACAAGCCTAAGTTCTAAAACAGCTGAACAGATTACAAGTAACCAGCCTAACAGTTGGTATGAGTATGAACACGCTCAGTTAGCAGGCTTCTACCCTACTTCATAGAGTGGGAAAAGTACTAAAAAAGCATGGATGCTATACGAATGCATCTTGCCACACACCAAACATGCAGAGGTTTTCCATGTAGTCATACAGACATTCTGCCATCACCAGCCAAGAAGAACACAGAGAATCTAACTGCTTTAGCAGTCAGCTGTTCCATGTACATGCAACTGTAGGAGAAAGCTACTATCACACAACTTCATAATGTCAATCAAACACCAGGTAATCTATCAGTACTAAGTGGTGAGGGAACACAAGCTGCTCTTCTTTTCTGAAGGACAAAGCAGTAAAGAACTCAAACACATAATAAATCACTTATGTGAAAACCAATATCAAATCACATTAGACCTTCCATTTTCTAGCATTTAGGTTAAACCACTTAGTCATTTGTAACCAGGAAAGACAAATTTCAGAGTGAAACATGACATAAAAGCTTTGGAAGAGAATTCATCTGTACAAACCATCTGAAAATCATCAGCTGCACATGCCACAAGGCTTGTGACATTCAATCTGAAAAAAAAAAACCACCATAGACAAGTCCTACATTCTTCTTGGCGAATGAAGGGTTCCAATCAGTATGAAAAAGAAAGTTTCAGAGCCCAGCTTCAAAGCTAAAGAAGTGAGTTTAGCAAGACCAGACATGAATTATGGGCGTGCTATTACATCATAAAAATAAAGCAAAAGAAAAAAAAGCTAGAACTTACATGTAGTTGATAATTTGGAACTGGGAAGTGTACAGTACATACTCTAAATTTTGTCTTGCAATTAGAATCCCCTCACATACATGACATTTAAATGCTTCTATAAAAGAATCATTAGGACTGCCTTTTTAAGGATTAAGAACAGATCTGTTCGGATTTCTCCAGGGTTATCACAAAGACTGGAAAAAGCAAGCCAGCGTCATAGTCTTTACTCTGAATTCATGCAATGGTGCCTTTTCTTCACAATGTTAACCTCACATGTTTCCTATGAGTAGTCTTTCCACAAGCTTTCTAAAGTGGGGAATTCAATGTCAGCCAAAACTCCTTTCCCCTGCAAAAAATTTACGGATGAGATCCCTAAGCCTCAAAGTCCTACAGTCTTCAGCATTCATCCTATCACCCTACCTTCAATTTGTAAACTTTATATTTTTCAGTAGAGACACAACATCCTTCATGGTTAAAAACAAAGGACAAAATATTTAGTTTTCCTAATTAACTTATTAGAGTTTTTTTTTCCCCCCTCAGAAAAGCTCCACATAATTACCTCTGTTCTGAAATACTACCATTCTTATAATACATGCAACTTCAACAACGCTAATGTAAAAACTCCAAATGGAAACCACTGCTTCGGGTGGAAGCTGGGGCTTCCTGTGTTCCATCCCTAAACTGGTCATATGACGACATCTTGTGTCATCTCCATTCAGTATAATTACTACTTAACTAATAGTTAAATGTTACTGATAGAACAACAACTACTATTTCAGTACGATGAACACTGTAAAGAAGTCTCATTCTCCACACAACTGATATACGTACATCGCCCATCCTGAAAAATTATTTCTGCTCTTAAAAGCAGAGTTGATGTTCTTACAAAACTAAACTAAAAAGTCAAAAGAAAAAATAGAACTAAATTTTTGACATGCTTTGATCTGTCTTCAGCATAAAATCTGAGATCTGGTCGATGACATCAGACACTGCAGTTATCAGATGCTCTCTGCATTGTACTTACTCAGTTCCTACTGAATTTTTATACAGAGACAGATAAGGAACACGATGATAGTGTATAATGACAGGATTTTTTTGTTTGTTTGTCTAGAAAAATATCCCAAAGGCCTTGAGAGGACCTTCTTCCTCATATCACTCTATAACGGCCTGTTATCCAATGCGCTTAAGAAAGACAGTATCTGTGACCTTTGGACAGAGTAAGATATTCATTCCTCTTAGCATCCTAAAGCAGCAACTTCTATGAAAATATCTTCAGTGCTATCGGACAGACTCCAGCAACTTAGGTGCAGATAAATCCTGTTAAAAACCAGCCGAACAACGAGAACCCTCAGACTACTACTAGGCATGCCACCTCCCAAAACTCTATGTTCACATTCAGTCAGGCTCTCCAGCATTCATGATAGCTGTCCTTAGGAATTGAGTAACCAGGTCTCTAAACTGCAGTAACCAAAGTTCTGTTGAGTTTTATCACAAGCCTTGATGTGCTTGGAGTTCTGCACCTTTTGGAAATGAGGTGAGCCTGATGACAACAGTCATTCACTGCTCCAAACACTCCAGCAGCGTTATTACCTCCTCTATGAGCGCACACTGTGACACTCACAGTGGGATCAAGCATCCCCTCAGCACACTTGCAGATGACATCAAGCTGTGCGGTGCAGCCAACATGCCTGAGAGATGGGAGGCCATTTGGGGTCACCTACACAGACACAAGCAGCAGGCCCAGGAGAACCTTATGAGGCTCAACAAATTCAAGTGCAAGGTCTTGCATATGAGTCACAGCAACCTGGGTTGTCATGAAACTATCTAAAAATGAAAACAGGACATTCCTAGAAAGTCAGTGCCCTGAACTAAAAACACATTCTTAAAAATCAACCATTTCTTACACATATCCAGTAAGTAAGAGCACGTGGCCCTTTCAAAAGCAAGACGAAAAACTCCTCCATGCAGCTGGTATTACGAGGCAGCACTTAGAGTTGTTGTTCTAGTGCTACAGTTATACAGCTCCGATGTGTTTAAGCTTGTAATACAACATGAATATTAAAATTAAACTAACATGAAGACTAATTACCAGCACACTAACAGCAAGCAATTTGTATGCAAAGAATCCTCTGAATTTCCCAGCTCTGAATATTAGCCTGCCAAGCATCTTCATTGAAGAGTACTCAATCAACTGGACTCTTTACAGGTTCCTAAACAACAGTATTATGTTTCCAAAACAAATGTCTTCCCAATTTAAACACAGTGTTTTCAGAAATATCCTCAGTATTTCACTAAGATACGTATGAAGTACATAAAGGTAAATGAAAAACATAATACTCAGAAAATATTAAAAGCTTTTTTGGACATGACAAATTTCTAAATGCCTCCTCCTGTTAAAATTCTTCACACATTTTCTACCTGTGTTCAACAGAAACTTCTTCCAAAGCCACGAGGAAAAAATAACACTAAAGAACTTTAATAACGGCTTACTTATCCTTTGTCATCTTTCTACATTAGCACTATTTACATTTCTGAAGACACCAGCCCAGATCACTCTCTGAATTAGTGTTAATAGAACTATAATCTTAATGTTTATGTTTATATTAGGGACAGGAATATAATAAGCCATTGTCTTCACATCATTCCTATTTTTCCACAAATTCAATAACATGCAACGGACCACTGAAGGTTTGAAAGACAATGGAAAGAGGTGCTGTCCCCCACAAAACCTAAGAAGTCATGAAGATACAAAAGCCCTGCATTTCCTAGTTTAAACTGTCTCAAGAGCAAACATCATCTGGAAGCAACACAGCCTCCCTCTAGTTTCTGTTTCAATCTCTTCTCTCTCCTGTCTCGGCAAAGCACAAGAAAGAAGCCACAAGAGCAACAAGGGCTGTAACTTTAAACTGAAACCTTGCTGGTAACACCCACAGCATCAGAAATATACCTTAGTTTAACAAATCAAAGAGCATAACTTCATGTGACGTTATAAAAGGGTCTCCCTCTTTTTTGTTTGTTTCAATTTAATTATTTTAAACTTAAGTGACAAGTAGCTTCAAAAAAAGGCAAGATTGAGACTTCTCTCCCCTTCCCCAGTGAAATACAGTACCTGCACAGAGCTTGAGTCATACTGGCATCTTTCACATTTGGATCTGTAGTAAGGCTCATGATGAGTACTGTAATCATCTGCAAAGGTATATGCTGCACAAGACTTGCCAGTGCAACAGAGGGTTCAAATGCAGTATCTGTAAGAGTTGAACATGCCATGTTGTAAGAATCAAAAACAAGCTACTACTGGAAAACTATGCTTTATTTTCCCACCAGCTTTGTTGCAGCAATGAAGTTCTGAAGTGATGAACCTATCCCTACACCAAACATTACAGAATCACAGAATGGCCAGGGTTGGAAGGGACCTCATGGATCACGAATCTCCAACCCCCTTGCCACACACAGGGCCACCAACCTCCCCACTTAATACCAGACCAGGCTGCCCAGAGTCCCATCCGACCTGGCCTTTAACACCTCCAGGGACGGGGCATCCACAACCTCTCTGGGCAGCCTGTTCCAGCACCTTACCACTCACATAGTGAAGCACTTCCCCCTGACATCCAACCTAAATCTTCCTTCCCTCAACTTAAAACCATTTCCCCTTGTGCTGCTGTTATCTATCCTTACAAAACGTCTGTAGGCTCCCTTTAGGTACTGAAAGGCTGCAATGAGGTCACCCCACATTCCACCATCCCACAGGAAAACAGTTCAAGGTTTCAATGACTTAAGTACATGAATAACACTTTCTGGGTACGTAATATCCCTGAAAGAAGGTGAGAGTCTACTAACTTGTTGCTTTACTCCCCATGGAACTGGTAAGTGCACCTAAATGCCAGCACCATACAACCATTCACTGCACTGCCTGCTAAGACTGGAGACAAAACATGTGAAATACTGGCTATGCTCAACCTCAGTAACTGGTCAGTAACTGTACTGTGTTGCAAAGTTTCCTAGGGGCCTCAACTGTAGAAGAAATTACATTTGTTAATGCCATAGTACTTAGTAAATGTCTGAAGTCAGAAAGAACCGATGTAAAAATCTCATCTACATCCCTCAGGGAGCGTATCCTTCCTAAGCATTATGTTCTTCTAGCTCTGGAGAATGAGCAGCCCGAAGGCCTGACGATATCTGTCATTAGGGAGGACCATTTCCCTCCGATACCGAACTCTAGCTTGATCTGTTAAGACATTCAAAACCGGTCTTCCAGCGCATCTTACACAGCATTACAGTACTTCACTCCTAAACTCACACACAGCAAGCTCCCAAACCAATCGAGCGCCACGACCCCCTACCTTCTCACCGGGGACCTCCGCATCCTTGACCATCGGTCGGCATCCGAGCACAGGCGCGAGGATTCAGCGGCCCCGGGGCAGCCCCGCGGCGACACGGCTGCGGCCCTCCCGCTCCCTGAGCTCCAGCTCCCGGGGCCGGCGGCAGCCCCTTCCTCTTCCTCCTCCCCCTCCGACCCCGCCCCGCTCCCCGCGGCGGCGCTCACCGGCGGCGGCGATGACGGCGAAGAGCTCCTGCAGGGAGGGCAGCAGCGTGTCGGGCTCGGCCTTCCAGACGCTGCGCAGCAGCCCGCTGACCTGCGTCACCTGCGAGACGTAGAGGCGCAGCTCGGCCTCGCGGCTGCCCCGGCTCTGAAAGTGGGCGATGCTGCGCACCAGCTGCTGGCAGAAGGCGAGCGAGAGCTTCCTGCCGCGGGGCAGACACTGCGGGAAGTCGCCCAGCAGCTGGCACAGGCGAGCGCAGAGCGGCGGCGCGGGCCGCTCACACACTATGCGAAGGGCCTCCACCTGCAGCAGCTCGAAGAGCTCCAGCACCGAGGGGCAGCTCATGATGAGGCGCAGCCCCGCCTGGATGTAGTCGAGGATGGCCGGGTCGCGGCAGCTCAGCTCGCCGTAGCCGCGCTGCAGGAGGCCGAGGACCAGTCCCCGGTCAAAGAAGGCCTCGAACTCGGCGCGATGGTAGCGCCCGTAGGCCTCCAGGACCTGGCGGCCCACCTGCCGCTGGAAGGCGTCGGGGCCCTGCAACACCAGCCGGGTGCCGAGCGCGAACATGGCGCGGCACTGCGCCGGGCTCAGCGGCGTCTCGGCCAGCTCCACCACCCGCCGCACGATGACGCGCTTCAGCGGCAGCGGGTGGGACGAGCTCACCAGTCCCTCCAGGATCTTGTCCATGGCGGCCGGGCGGCGGCGAACCGGCCCGGGCCTCGGCGGGGACCGCCGCCGTCGTCTTCGTCGTCGCCGCCGCCTCTCCGCGGCCCTCCCGTCGCCCCGGCGCGCTATGCCGGCCTGAGGGCGGCGGCCCCGCGAACCGCTGCAGTACCGCCGCGACCCCAACGGCGACGGCTGAGCGTTCCTCGACGACCCGGAAGCGAAAAGACACAAACAGGAAGCGAAGAACCACGCAAGCGCCCGCCGGCAGCCTCCTTATCGCGGCACTGGCCAATGGCAGCGCGGGGCGGGGCCGCGGTGCATTTGCCTGTGCTGGTAGGGGCGTCCCGCCGTTCTAAAGGTCTGTGGGCGGGATCTGTCCCAGTGTCTGTGAAGGTAAAGGTCGCGAGGCTGGAATAGAGCCGTAGCCCGCGGTCACGTAGGCTCCCCGTTGCTCGATGCGCGCAGCTCGCTGTTGGGCGCTTGGGCAATACTTGCAATTCAACGTCAATAAAGTCTGGAGAACGAGCCGATCCGATCCTTGGTGTCATTTGCTGCATAACAGGTGCAGAATCGAAACCGGCCTTCGGGCTGTGAACTTCAGGGAGTAACATAAACCGGCACAAACAGCAGAGCTAGCTGTAAGGCACCGCAGCTTCAGCACCACAGCAGTCAGAAAAACACAGTGCGAAACCAACGTGCTGAAAATTAAATTCTCCACCTGTATGTTCCAGTGTTCAGTTACAGTGCTCAGATAACCGTTCCCTTTCACCTCCGTGCTGCCGTGCTTTGCTTGCTGCACACACAGGTGAGATCGCTTCCAGAAGTCATTACGTTCCAGTGCAAGTTGTGTTGATCAAGATCT